CTCCAGAGATATCCTGCAGATCGTGTATACTGGTGTATCTATTTTTAGCTCAGACTTGTATGTGAATAACATTATTCCTTATTTAGTGAACAGGATATCCTGGATATGGGACATTCTGGAGCGAGTGTTTAGATAACATCTATTTAAACAAAGGGTGATTTAAACAATGGTAGTAAAATTGATGTTGTGAATTCTCTTTGGTCCTGATTTTGAGGTCATGCTCATTAGTGTACAACCTATTATTTTTCTAGAGTACGCAACTGGTATTTAAAAACTGGTAAACTTTTTTTTTTTAGTTTTGTACAGGAACAAGAAGACTGCTGCTTAAGTGAAAAACGAGGGGCATCAGCATTATAACTTGCCAGCAGTAGAGTTTATAGATATTTTAATCCAAACAAATGAGCTGCTACTTCTTTGGGAGACGCAGAAAGAGGACAACAAATCCGGTAGCCATCACAGAAGTAAATGTGGTCCAGCTCCTGGGAAGCAGTGGAAGACTACGCAGGAGAGGCGGGTTGCATCACTGCGACTTGTTCTCAAGTTCAACATATTCTTGTTACTAGAAGTGACTCCAGACAAGATAAAAGGGTTTGTTTCTTTTCCTCTGTGATGGGTTGTAAAGTGCAAACTACAGTCAGCTGTGATACTGTGGATGAACTGTATCCATTGCAAAGTAAATACAGCCCCTGCAGCGCGATATCAGTAGGACTGGAATGATGGGTAATGAGGAATGATTGCTTGCAGCTATTTGGTAACTGAAAGTAGTTTTGTGTTTATGACCACTTCAGTTCTGGTACAGCAGCCATCAAATGCCCTGAGCTTGTGCGAGCAGACAGACGGAGTGGCTCTTCAGTTGGCTCTTTCCAAGTAAGGTCTGGGTAGCAAAGCTGAGCACCCCTGTGAAGTCTCCCACCTCTGATGTGTCCAGCATTTTGCCCAGAGACCCAGCCTGTGCTCAGGGAGCAGCAAAGCAGTCAGGGTCCCAGAAAATAGGCTTTTGGCCATCTGTTATCAGCCCCAGGCTCCACAGCTCTCGTCTTGCCACTGGCTGAGGAGGTAAGAAATGACTAGCTGGTAATTTAAACAGCGGTAGTAAAAATCAGTGTTGTGGATTCACTCTGGCCCTGATTCTGAGGTCACGGTTATTACATACAGCATGCTATTCTGCAGCTCGAGTGAGCCTGCACCTGCACCGTCTGGCGTGTGCACAAGCACATGCTGAGCCGGTGTTTGCACCGATGGGCCTGGTGTGGCTGGTCGCACGCTTTCTGCCAGCTGGCCCCTGGGCTTGTGCCACTGGCTGGGGTGACGTCTGCATTTTCTCCAGCCCGTGGGGCCCACAGCTGGCTGGGCGGCTGCAGCCGTTCCGCTGTATGCAGGTCCCATAGTGGCAATCGCCATGCTACAAAGCTGTAGATCACTCCATGGGCAGCAGCTGTCTGGCAGGCACGAGGGGCCGTGCCAGCTCCTGCAGATGTAGCTGTCTGTCTCCCGAGTGTCGACATGCAGCTAATCAAATCAACCGTGCATGAAAAGAAGGCGCAGGCTGTCTCGAAAAATCAGTATGCCTGTAGCAAGACCTGCAGGCATGTGAAACATGCTGGGCTTGAGGGTGTAAAAAAGCACAGGCTAGTAGAAATTAAATGAGTGGGCCAATGGATTCACAGAGTTCAATGGTATTTTTCAGTCAAACGTCTTCAAGGACTGGTTTTATACCAGCACAGCTGTGCTTTTTAAACCTTTTTGTTTCTGGGGGTGCATAAAAAAGTGTTTGAAGTGATGGGTTACAGGCAATACATAGCATGATGAATGTTTTTGTCCTCTTACCCAGCTTTGTGAAGAAATACAGGAAAACATGAAACAAGGAGCGGGGAAGAAAGATGCTTTTCACTTCCTGGTTGTTTTCAAAGACATGGCTGTTGTGAAAGGACATTTCTGAGTAGCAAAGTTGTGGCTTCAGCTATCCCACAGCTGTCAGAAAAACATGTTCTTCGTCATAGGGCATGGAATTATTGTGCTGGTTGAGATGTTGTAGAATTGCCTGTGGTTTCTTACCTTTACATCTGCTTTATATTTAATTAACCCCCTCCCCCAACCTCCTGATTATAACTCCAAGGGTCAGTGCTGGAGTGGTTAGGACATCTCTCTGTAGCTCTCCAGTGTACTCTTGACTCTCGCCCTGTTTTGATTGCTTGTGAATTAATTCAGGCTTCTTCACCTTGGTTACCTAGTTTGACTTTGAATGCAGCATCATTGCTATAAAACATTAGCTTCTTTCTGTGAAGTATGATTTTTATGTACTTGTAGTCATGTTTTGTTTCATGTAAAGACAAATTACACAACCAAACATTTGTACAGCCTTTCTCTTGCCCTTGGCTCTGACCCGTTCCTTATTACAGTATTTTCAGCTTGCTGGGTTCAGTTTCTTGTACTCAAGCACTGCTCCTTCCCCTTCCTGGGGCCACTTATGACACTGTGCAGATGCAGCACGTTGCAGTAATGTGGTAATAACTTGATCACCTGAAATTAAACCACAACAGAATGGTTACATAGATGCTCCTTCAACTTCAGCAAACAGCTTCAAAACTCGGTAAACGTTTACTAAAAAACAGAAGCCAAGGATGATTATCCTTTTCCTATCAACATCAGAGATGCAGCTAACATACTTCCAGCAAAATACAGGTTTAAAAATGACCTTGAGCATCTGTGCAGAAAGCAGGGGTGATGAATTCCAGAAGAAAAGCAAGAGCAATACACAATCCAGCCCTATGGTCAAGAAATGCAGTGACAGACAAATGGTATACAAAGAAGTATTGTCCTGAAGAGGAAGAATGTCAGACCACCTTGGTGACTGCATCTGTGTGGTACTATGCGGCACAATTTTCCTTTTCTCTAAATTTGAAATGCTGCATTCGCTTCTTCAGGTAACTGGAATGTCCAAAGGCTTGCAGCAGGAGCTTGGTGTGTTCATTTCTCGGGTTTAATCATCACCACCATCACAGAGGACTCTCGAAGCTAAAGCTCGTTGGGATACAAAGACACATCCAGAAACACAGCTCAGCTGCAGGGGGATGGTACAACCCATTGAGGAGACATCGTACGAGATATGAGGAAATGCACGGCCTAAAGATCTCTTCAGATCTGCAGCGCACTGTAGCAGTTTGGGTGAAGAAGTCTTAGCAACAGACAAGTCCCAGTGACTTCTATGGGGTCTGACGGGACTGCACAGCTCTCCTCAGTGCCTGGAGGCTTTGCACGTGCAGTGATGTTTTTGTGCCTGTCTTCTGACCGGAAGATTTGGCTCTGCTGTTTGTGGGCTTGGGATGACACCCGAGGCAGCCCTGTGTGCTGTGGGCAGAAGTGTTGTGACAGCTGCAGATTAACAGCGGGCCTGATATCGTACTGGTGAGGTGAAAAGTCCCTGTGCAGCGAGTAACTTCTCCCACCGTTATTTTTTTTCCTTTTAGTTTGTCAGGATCTGACAAACTTGGGCACAAGTAAAAAAAAAACCCAGGCTTCTGAACAATTTGACTGCAGGCAGCTGTCGGTACGGCAGCAGGCCACACGCACCCCCGTGAACTAACGGTGACGCCGGAGTAGAAGGACTTCCCTGGTGTACCTGAAGAGCAGGGCACTCAAAGATCTAAGGTTGGAATAGGACTTCATAAGAAGTCCTTGTTAGGTTTGTCTGATGGCAAAGGATGACTCGTGTCACGGGAAATGCCTCTCTGCAGTATGATGATTTATTGACTCTCTGTAACTAGGCTACTGCAGGTTCAGTGGCGAATTACTCCACAGTTGCCTAAGGATCACCATGGTGGTTGGATGACAGGCATTTTAGAGTTGGCAAATCCCTTTGAAGGAGAGTTTGCTGTGCCAGAAGAACTTGAGATTCTACTTAGATCTCTATTACTCAGTTGTCCTGCAAATCTAGTTAGCCTCTCCCACTCCTTCCAGAAATGGTCAGTGTAGAAGAGTTCACAGAGTACCATCTACCCTTCATGTTGCAGCAACTTGAGATGCAGCGAAGTGTTCTCTGAAAGCTGTAGCTGTAACAATGGACCTTTGTCTGCTCAGCCCTTACAAGAATTTTCTTACTTCTTGCCACAAGGCACCACACAGTAGTGCAGGGGATTAGGTCATTTCCTTCCGTCGTCCTCTTCCTGCAGATTATTTGATTAACATTTCTATTGTATACTCTAATTAGCATGTTCTTGGCTTCAGGCTGCTTTCCCCCCATAATCTTCTTAAAACACTGTAGTATCACTTTATTAGCTGTGTAACATGGGAACTCTTGCACAGAGATTACATGTGATGTAACACAATGAAAGATTAATGGGGCTGGCAAGTCAGTAATCTTTCCTCCTTTCTTCTCCTGTGAACCTGTAGTTAGACTTCTGGGAACCCCCTAACAGCATTCACTCTTCTAACGCATGAAATATTTGTCGTTTCTGGATATCTTTGGCTTTGATCAGAGTTCAGCCATTGGCTTTGTGGGAAACTGGGTTAAGGTGGTGTATAGTGAATATTTAGCCTTCAGTATTGAGTGTACAGATATATTTCATTTTGGGACCACTACAGATCGTATTCTTCCACAGTTTTGCTTTTTCTCAGTGTTCCCTTCAGTCTCCTTTTCTCTGTACACTGTGTGCAGCAATTTCAAGCACTGACCCTGTGTGGGGTTTTTATTCCACTCGCTGCCTGTTTTGTTAAATATAATTATCAACAGAAACGTGTTTAAAATGTCCATCTTGAAATTTAGCAGTAATATACTGATCAGGTTAAGTCTAGGATGAAGAGTTTGCCACTCAGGCTTCTTGTCTGTCTGCATGCTGGGGGACATAGCATTGACCTTTGGCGATATCTGCAAGGCTGTCTTTTTAACTGATATAGCTAGAAATGCATTCCTCTTCAAAGCTCATTTTGAATGTCATGTGAAATCACGTAATTATACCAAACTGTACGGCATCTGCTCATGAGTCAGATAGAAGAACATGACGATGGCCCCTGAGGCCCTCTGGGGCCTCAACGCCTCGCGGCAGGAGCAGCGGCTGCTGAGCTGGCTGAAGGACCAGGCCCCGGCTTCCTCCTGCCACCTCAAGTGCCTGCAGATCCTCAAGGGCCTGCGGGACCTCCGCGGGCAGGGCCTGGAGGAGCCCTTCTGCTCCCAGTGGGGCCGGGTGCTCTCCTCCTACGTGCTGAAGACGGCGCTCTTCTCCCTGCTGCTGCAGGGGCCCTTGGAGGCCTGGGACGAGCGGTTCCTGGTGGAGCGGCTGGAGGACCTGGTGCTGTACCTCAGGGACTGCCTGCGCAAGCAGGTGCTGATGCATTTCTTCCTGGGCAATGCCAGCCTCCCCGAGGCCGTGGCGCTGCCCCGGTTCCTTAAGGAAGCTGCCCCCGTGAACTTGCTGGCCGGCTTTGATGGGCCCACGCTGGACCTGGCTGCCTTCCAGCTGATCAACACCTGGATCCAGGCCCCACATTTCATCAGGATGTACAGCAGCCCCCGCTACTTGCGACCAGCACCCACCCCGTGCCGGCACGTCGGCGAGGCCAGGCAGGAGCCAACAGGAGAGTGAGCCGGTGGCCGGATGAGCCAGCGTCACCCATGGACCCTGCCAGGGCAGCACACTCCCAGCCCAGCAGTCCATTGAGAGCCTGCGTCTGCCCGAGGAAGGTGGGAGCAGTTTAAATGTGGTTCTGTGGTTTTGTCCCTGACCTGAGAAAACTAGGAAACCAGAGACCAAGACTTAATGAAATTGTGATTCTTGTTTTTTAATCTCGTTGGTTATTCATGGGAAAATTGTGAAATTTCTGGGGAAATGCCTTAGTTGAGAAGTGTTACCTTCAGTCGGCTGTTTGCAAACCCAACAGGGTCAAACTGGCATTTCTGGAAATCCATGTTAACTTGTTGTCATAGTGGAAAAATTGACCTTTTTCTGAGATTTGCTTTTTATGATACAAAATCCATTTGGGATTTAAAAATCCTGTAAGTGCAAACACCCCCCCCCCCAAGTGTACCAAGATGGTCTTAAAACGCGATGAGCACTGGAGCATGGGTGTTGATCACAGTTTGAAATGTTCAGTGACATGCTTTAAATTTCCTGTGTAATCAAATACGTTGTGCGGAACAGAAATATAATATGCATGTTAATGTAAAATTGAGAGAAGAAGCAAAACCTTTCCAACAATGGTATGAAGAATCTAGTTGCATGTTTCTGTCTTCCAGTGATGGTTATACTGAAGGATTGAAATACAGATAAAAGGAAACACATAGCACTTTATTTTCACAAAGGCCGCCTTTTTAGGATAATTGGCTGCACTAAATACTTACAACAGAGGAGGCATTAGTATTTTGTTAAAGGGGTGATGTTTGAATCATAGTGAGGAAAACCTTCCTTTAAGGAAATACTCTGAGGTTCGTTTGTGAGTTCTTGTTGAGATTTTTTTTTTTTTTCCGGCTTCAAGTATCATTTTCTTAGAATTTGCTTTACCTCAAGGACCAACAACGAAACTAAGAAATTCTGGTGGGCATTTTTTTTCTTTTGTTTTTTTTGGGGGGGTTTTTTTTGGACAAACCTTAAGCCAGTCCAAATTTCAGTGCTGTAAGCTGTCTGCTGCGCCCTCCTGGTCTCCGGCAGGAGTTTGTTGGGATTTTTGGATGACTGCCTAACCAGTTGTCCGATTGGGGCAGTATTTTGACCAAATAACCTGATGGGATTTTCTGTTGCTGTGCTATGGCAAATTGTTATCTTGTGGCAGGGAGGAGGAAGTGAAATATTTCAGGGTACTTCAAAATTCTTTAGCACAAGTTCATGGTACAGTGGCAGTCTTAGGCTATGGATTCTGTTGTCCTCTGAGTATAGACATCAGCCGGATAATCTCCACTTCTTGCCTGGTTATGTCCCAGTCACTGGAGTAACCTGGCGAGTTGTAACGCAGCCAGCTCTGCAAGGGTCCTTAGCTCCTGGTGCAGGTACCTGGGGTGCAGGAGCCTGATGTGTCCCAGGGTGTCAGCAAATTCAGAATTTCAAATCCTTGCTTTATTCGGTCACTTGCTCCAGTATTTGATGTATTAATACCCAAAATGTGTTGCTTGGGTTCTTGGGAAGCTGAGCTTGTGCCTTATTGCCCACTATACTGCATCCTAAGTGAGCAGTCTGAAATGAATTGCCAATGACCAAGTATAACTTCTGGGAAGCTTTAGGATAACTTGAAGTTACTGACCTACTCCTCCTCTCCCAGATGTATGTAGAGATACCAGTGTGCTTTATCACAGTTCTGTGCATCAGAGCACAAAACAAACATTTTCAAAATCTATGAAGCTTTATAAAAATCTATTTTTCTAAATGGAAATGCTCCCTAGGCAGATGTTTGCCTACTTCTATCTATTTTTTTAACTGCTCTTGCAGTCTTATTTTCAGGTAATTATAGCCTAGGTCACACCCGCAAGTTGGGTTATTTTTATATATGAAGCACTGCGCTTCTTTCTACAAATACAAATAGTGTATTTATAGGTAGTATTGATCAAATGTTCTTTGCACATGGTATTTAAGGCTAAGTGAGCTACCTTGGTGTTTTGATTTCTTTTTTGGTAGTAGACCATGATACGTACTATTTTTGCAGACTTGTGTTACTTGGTATTTGGAATAAAATGCAGTTCTGCAGTCGATGCCATTGAATCTTTTGCCCAAAGAAGGACTAGACGACCGGCCCAGGGTGTTGTGGCTGGTTGAACTCGTGACATAAGAACCCTTTAGCTGTTAATTCTGGCATCTTAACCACTTCAGTCAGCTGTCGGTTTGTTTACATCACTGTGCATCTCTGTCTCTGAAGAGCAGTCTTTTCTCTGAAAAGGGATCCACGTTTGCTGTGTATTTAGTATTGCTGCAATACATGGAAATCTGTAATAGACTTGGTAAGGGCTTCTCACTAAAATGCGGTAATGCCAGAAAAAGACAGTTGCATCAGGAAATGCACGACAAGGAGAGATGGTGGAGAATATAAATAGTTTAGAAAATGAAAGTGGGGCTGAGGGGTGAGTGAGAATGATGGTAAGCTCTCAGTGAAGACGGACTGCAAACAAGCCAAAGGACATAGGGGGAAAATTTGGAGGAGAGCTGTTGAAAGCAAGGCAGATTTGGAGGGTAGGGAAAATAGGGAAAAGAGATTTAAGTAAGTTTTCCTTTGACAATATTTCCAGAGTGGTTGAACCCATCAGGGCTGAACAGTGAGGCAAACCCTGAGTTTATTACCCTTGTAGGCAGATCTTCAGTGTGAGTTCTTGCTCAGCAAGGCATTTTTGAGTTTGTGATGGCTGGTGATGGGAGAAAATGTATGCATTGGCTTTAACCTTAGGCTTGGGCAAGCTTTCTTGAGGAGAGGGGGCTTCCTGCCAGTAAGACAATGTACGTGCAGCTGGTGGGAAGTCTGAGAAAATCTCTTAGATTAATTTGTAGCTCTGTTGTACAACTGAGACACTAAGGGTATTTGCCTCTGTAAAGCATGCATTCATGAATATGATTGACAAAAGGAGCTGATAAAAGTTGGGTTGTGTTACGGTGTTCATCTTATTGCACAACAAACGTGACAGCACTGGTACCTGCAGCATCCTGGAGCTATTATAGGGCGTTATCTGTGAGAATGTGTACAGAGAACTTGACCTACATGAGTAATCCCATGGGCCTTTTTCCTCCTTCTTCTCCCAGCCCATGGATGCTGTACACACAACAAGGTTATGAATATGTATTTGTTAAGGTTGTAACTGTTATAATGTACCATAGATTTCAGCGTGGTTGCCTGTGTGTGTGTAAACTGCAACACACACACAGATGAAAGAGGGTGTTATTTAGCACTAACGTGGGTTCTTGTTTCTCTTTATCTGCAACCTAATCTTGCAAAGACTGTGCAAATGAAGTTTTTCTTGAACGTTGATTGGGAAGAGGAGTCACACCTGCAAGAGAATATGGTTATTTACAGTACCAAAAGTGCATGTATGTGACTTCATTCTGTACTGGAAAATGCTGTGTATTTTTCAAAGGTATTATTATTTCTTATCTGACGTAAATATCTTGAAAACATTCCTCCTTTGAATTTGAATCTCTGCAGAGCAATGTAAATTTTAAGTGTCTGTTTGCAATGGACATTCTTGGTACAACTATTTTTCGCTGGTTAATAATCAGACCAAAGGTTAAATAAAAGTGTTCGGCTGCTATTATTTAAAAAAAAAAAAAAAAGTGTTTGTAGGCTCAAAGTGTCAGCCCATTTTAATGAAACGTTTATAAATTCATTGCCTATTTAATATCAAAATACATTTGCACTTCTATTGTTTCCATAAAAAGTTGGTAGTTTTGTTTAATATTTCACTGTAGTAATAAACAGCTGCTTTAAAGCATCTATGCCTCAAGATTTAAATTCCTTGTTATCTTTTTTTCAGTAAAGGCTACCTGCAGCCACAAAACTCTGGTCAGCAGGTTTATGTGCTCTTTAGGAGGAGACTACTAAAGTGGCAAAACCACAGGAAAGCAGGAAGTCCATGCCTTGGGAGTTGTGCAGACGGATACGGGAGGCGAGCCAGGAGAGGGACTAGAGCGCGGCTGGCACCTCTCTGGTGTTGCTGCCTTTTGAAATGGAGCACGTTGAGGGTTTGTGGCTGTCTCGCTCAGAGGTTAAGAAGGCATCAGTTCTTGTTTCTCTGGCTCCAGTTTCAGGTCACTGCATAAAATCTGCTTTTTCTGGTGCTTAGTGAAGAGCTAGGACTTCATCTTCATTTCACAGTATCTGTGTGAGCTTTTCAGCGTGGCATGTACAGACGCGTCTCTGTTCCAAACTGCGTTGGTCATGCTTTATTAAATATGGAAAAAGTCCTGCGGAAGCCAGCAGGAGTTTTGTGGATGGGCCAGCAAGTTACCTGTCCTTTATTAGTCTTTGGTAAGATGCCAGAACTCTACACTCATGGCTTGTGCTGATGTTCCCTATTAAAGAATGAAATAACAGCAAGACCCCTAGCTTTTTAGTCATTAAAAGCTAGGCTGAAAGAACTATCCCCACACCTTTGTGTGCCTGCTTCTTGCCTTGCAGGGAGGGGCAGTAGTCGTTGGTACAGCACTGAGCTACCTGGCTGGCTAATGGGCTTCTCGCTGGCAAGAGTGTCATTGCTGAAGTGTCAACACGCAGTCAGCCAAGTCAGTGCGGAGGAAGTATATTTAGATCTTTTGCCTCTTTAATAGCATTATCTCATATTAGTGGCTTCCTTTAAAAGCAATAGCCATCCTCTGGTCTCGATTCATTCCTTTCTCTGAAATATTTCTTTTTGAAGCCTGAGTTTCTATTCTGCAGCAAATCGTTAAAGAATCATTGGAGTTTCCTTTTGTGATAAATCTGTTAACAGAAAATTAGCTGGCCTAAGGACCTGCATGCTTGATGTTTCAAGAAAAGCCTGCTTGCATCCATCTCATTGGGTAAATTGTTTATAATCTTTCCATACCTGTGGAAATACCTCCCTTGTAGTGCAGCCAAGGTCAGTGGTGAATCGCCGATTAAGTACTGCTTGTGCAAGTTAAAGCTGCCTGGCGGGGAG